TTTTCATTTTCAATTTCATAGATTGTTTATAATGACTTTTGCTAAAATTTCAAAATCAAAAGTTATCAAAACAAATTCTATGGGACTGAGAAATATTATTTTCTACTTTTTAGTCCATTTATAAAGGCGTTGTATATTAAAAAGTTTTTTTTATATTATTTATTTATTTATTTAAATCTATAAATATACAAACATACTTACGAACTAGAACAAGATTTGGTAAAGATATTTATTTAACCTTTGATTTCTTGCACGTTTGGCCTTTACTTTGAAAAACTTCTGTCAACACTGCACAGTGGTGCAAAACTGGAATTTAATGTCCATAACTCATTGGAGCCTTCATTTTTCAACGAATTTTATAAATTTGTATATGTTTATTAGATCGAGTTAATGTGTATAGGAGATTTGTTCGACTATGCGCATATAGCACAGAAAAATTCTACGTATAATTCTAAACAAATAGGATTATTTGTATTTTGCTGTAGAGATGTAAAGAAATGCTTAAATTTTGTATACAAACATGCTAGCATGCATTTATCCTTTTCTTAAAGTTTCGACCAGAGGGCGCAACAGTGAAAGTTTTCCCATTTTCTTCGAAATCTATTTTCGCAATTTGGAAACCTCCAAATTGATTTAAGACCCATGGTTCCTCGGAAAATTTGCTTAGAATCACACGTAGATTTCTCCAAAGCTAAATGCGCATAGTCAAAAAAAGTCGACCCGCCCTAGTTTGTATTAACTTTTTAGTGCAAAAAGCGGAAAAGGTAACAGTTTTAAAGACAATTGATTCTCCTGTTCTAGTTAATAAGTGTAACATAATAAAAACTAATTGAAAACATTTGTAGGATTCCACCAAAACCTTTTTCACAAGAAAATTTTAAATGTTATAAAAAAAAGTTTCACCAAAATTTAATCTGTTTTTGCTAACTTTTCGGGCACATCTGCATGTTGTGAAAGAAAAATGCATACCCACAATTTTTCTAACAGCCGGTTTCACCAGCAATTTAAATGTAAAATGGTTTTTTATTTTCCGTCAATTTCCATATAAAACTAAAAAAAAAATAAATCATTTTTCGCTTAAATTTCTTTCGTGAAATTGGCTGTAAGAACTAAAAAATAAATTTAGTTTCGTGAAAATTTTTTTACATTTAATTTTTTTTGAATTTATTTTCCATTTTAGGAGAACCACACAATTATTTTCAACTAGTTTTTATTATGTAACATTTATTAATTGGAACAGGAGAATCGGTTTTTTTCAAAATTAATACTTTTTCTGCGCTTTGCACTAAAAAATTTGATACAAGAAAATGAAAAGTCAAAAATCGGGCTCAACTGGTATTTTCCAAATTTTATGAGCCTTCATTTAAAGCAATTAATCGAATTGGGCGAAAAACGAAGGCTCCAGTAAATTATGAACTTTAAATGCCAGTTTTGAACCACTGTGCACTGGTAAGAAAAATATTGCACTTACATAGTTCTTATGTCGGATACCAATAGCAACTTTTATTGCTAAGTAAACAAAATTAAGAAGTTATTTTTTATATATTTACTGACTATAAAATCTAATTTTGTGTTTAGAAATTTTTTTAATTAAACGAACTTTATAAAGCCAAGAGATCCGTACTTCTTTATTTCTTCTTTCGTTAAAATCAAGGGGTAGGTGTCGACAGGAAGTGGCCATTTTTATTTTCCAACATTTTTCACAATTCAATTATTTCCTTTTTCTCGTCTGTTGTATATGTATGTATGTATGTACGAGTATATACTAAATATGTATGTGTGTGTGGACATTACTTTCTATGATTCTTTATGTCAACTGCACCAGCCGTCATATCACGGCCAATTATCGCTAAATGTCCGCTGAGACGCTGAGTTAAAATGTGTAGAACAAAAAAAAAAATAAAATAACTAATGCAATTATAGGATTTCCTTGCAGCCGCTTATGCGCTAAGTGTGTTTGTGCGTGGCATGTTAGCTTATGGGCGAAAAATTTGAACTCAAACGTAAAATAGAAATGTTTATCTAACATCATTGGCCTGTCGGCAGCAAAAAACAAATCGCCTCACACTCTCACATTTATTTACATATGTATGTAAACACGCATTCAATCTTAAAAAAAAATTTAAATTTAATTTTAAAATTTAAATTTGTAGGCAATGTGGGGCCTAAAACTGTCATAGTTGCAGTTTGTTTTGAGTACTTAGTTGTTAAAGCTTTTGCATAGAAATAGCAACGTAGTTAATTACGCATTCGCGGGTGTGCAATAAAAGTATGCAAATGTCGATACTTAGAAAAAATCGAATACAATTATCGTAGCTTGTCGGCACTGTCGTCAAACTTCAACTTGCACATACAACAATTGCTACAGCGCATATCTACACAATTAATTTTTAATTTTGCCAAATAGTTATGAGGAGTGTGGGCAATGAATAAAGAAAGCAAATGTAATAATAAAATTAATGCACGCAAGCAATAAGAAATGAGCGTGCATACTTATGGACTTTCCATATGCATAATGTATACTAAATTCGAAGTGTCTCCAGAGAAAAAAATATTTCTTTTAAAATTGATTGTACGAATAAATAATAAGGAAAAGGATATTAATGAACAAATGACTGCAGAACCAACTGAAATAGCGATACGTCAAATATATATGTATGTATGTAGTGTGATTAAACATTTTATTTTGTTTTTTGAAATCAATAAACATTACCTCAAACTATTGTTATTTGTGATAAAAAGAAAGAGAAACGTACTTTTTTATCAAAGAAAAAAGTTTTTTTTTGAGGTCGCGCTATCGTCCTTTTATAAAAACGCTGATGTTCTCAATTTTTTTTTATTTTCGTGAAATGTTAAAATGCAGCTAAAAATGTTGCTTTTACATTTAATTACTCTGGTATTATTGGGGAACATTCCCTTAATTTTATACCTGTTTTTGAAAAAATGATTGGATTTGTTTGAAACTTAGCACTCGGAAGCTTTTTGGGGTCCTGAATACGAATATGAAGTCAATGGCGGATCCTCTATGGCTATCAAACTCTTAAAAACTTACTAAATTTAAAATGTTGATACTGAACGTTTTAAGCATTGTCATGGAACTTGTTGCCATGGAGCTTGTTGAAACATGTTACCAGTGAATATCTGGGGTTGCTGATTACGAATCTGATATCAGATTTTCAAAATTTAAAATGGCGGATCCGAGTTTCAAACAAATCCCAAAATATTTTGCTTAAGTTGGTCGCTATATTAAATCCGCCATTTTTATTTTGAAAATTTGAATCAGATGCGTAATTAGTGACCCCAGAAACCCCTTGGTAACGAGTTTTAACCCTTAATTAGGCGCATGGGGTCAAGGCCATTTCAAGTTAAAAAACAAAAAACTGTCTTGAAGTGCTTAGAGCGTGCTCGCGCTCTTTCTAGCTTCCTAACTCCCCGCGGGGTACGTAAATAAGTCACGGCTAGAACATCGTCGTGTACACATGTGTCGCTACTCGCTTGAGTGCTGACCCCATGCGACTACTAACGTAACATTTTTTGGCGGAGGTAAGTTTTTATTTATTTTTTTTTTAAGTTTGAAGCCGAAATTATGTTTTTATTTTTTTTTTAAGTTAACGATAATATAGCACTTTAATTTTTTTGTTAATACATACTTCGTTTTCTTATTTTGAAAACTCTATTTCAACACTTTTATTGGGGTCACTGAGTCATACGACTAATTGTGTGATTTTCTGTATGCGCCTAATTAAGGGTTAACCCCATTAATTACTACATGAAAGCTACAATAGTTTGGACCTGCGTTCAAAAGCATATTAGAGAACAAGCAGGCTGTTGAACTTGCTAGGCAGGGCTCTGAAGGCCAATTAATGGGACTCGCACTGTGTCTTGGTGCTTCTAAAACTCCAGTCAAATTTCACACCCAATCCGGGCTTACACTATAATTCCGAGTATCAGCTGGTTCCTCGAAAAATTTTAAGGAACATGGAAGAATCAAAAACCAGCCATTTTATTTTTTGTTTGAAATCAAAAAATATTTATAGGTCGCTCAACAAAGCGCTCAATGTTTTCAATGTATTTTGTATGGGGGAAAAAAATTTTTCGTAGAAATGGTTTGGAATTCTTTAAAATCAATATTTAATGATCAGAAAACTCTGGTTCTTTTCAGGACACTTCCAATAATAATACCCAGTTGTTTATTTAACCATCGTAGGGGGTTTAAGCATAAAAATCCCCATTTAACTTTTTCACATGCATTTTTGGACCACCCTAATGCACACGCTCATAAGCAAGGACATTCATTCAAGTTCAATAGATTTCAAAGCCACGCTCACTCCCTTCCATTAAATGTGTGTAAGTAATTCATTTGCCACTTTGAACTGACTCATGCAGATCTCTGGTATATAAATATGTATATATATCGCTGCCTAAAGGTGAAAAGGTGCCAAATCCACTTTTGTTTAAATTTAGCTTTTGATGCAGAATGGCAGATATGGGGAAACTATATCGATTTTTCGTCTCTCCTGGACCTTTTCACATTTAAATAACGATATGTATATGACTATAGCTGAAATATATAATAAGGCAATGTGTTTGTTCTTGATAAACTGTACAACACCGAAATGAAAAGAGAATCTAATTAAATTAATTATGTAATTAAGAAAGGCTATTTTTTCTGCATTCGAAGTGAAGTTCTATGCTCTGTGGTTTTCAAGTTGCTGTATCATCATCTATGTATGTATGTACATACACGGGTATGTTATGTTCTTATAAAAGAAGAAAAACTCTCAATACACCCGCTGTGATGCATTGCTTGGGGTAAAATGTTAAACAAAAAAAAAACGCTCCAACTCGAACATCACTTATAAATATAAATACGCATATTAAATGTAGATATAAATGTAGATATAAAATATGTATGCATGCACTAACATACACATGTTACAACTTATATTTATTCGTTTAAATTAAAAACGCATGTTACAGCAAGAGCAACTACAACAACAACAACAACAGCCGCCTGTTTGTAGAAGACGCCGCCACATAATGAAGCACTTTGCCTTGTTTGGCTTTGCTGTTGCCGCTGTGTTGCAAATGCAATCGAATAAGCGGCTGCAAGACGCCATGCATCATGCTATCCTACTTACATAGATATACACATCATCTACATGGCTTTATCAGGGTATTGTGCCCCTCACCAACCCCCCCTCAAATCATCTATGAAATCAGGTTGTCTGCTGGCGGCTAAGCCTTTTCTTATATGTAAGTAAGATGCATGTACATTAGGGTGGTCCAAAAATGCATGTGAAAAAGTAGAGTCGGAATTTTTCTGCTCTCACCCCCTAGGATTGTTCTATACCGAAAAAATATGCCCTTATTTTTTTATTTTGAAATCAGAAAAAAATATTTAGAGGTCGCTCAAAGCGCCTACAGTTTTCCATGTATTTTATATGGGGAAAAAACAACTTTTCGTAGAAATGGTATAGACTTCCTGAAAAACCATGTTGGACCACCCTAATATACATACATACATATGTTTGTTAAAGCTCCAGCTAGACATCATTCGATTTTCTTGCAATTTAATTTCCCCCTTATTCATTTGCAGTGAAATAGCAACATTTTATTTATTTATGTCTGTATGTATGTATGTAAGTATTTATTTTTAACTTGCCGAGGAAACTTATTTTAATTGCAAGCGCAAAGAAATAAATTGAAGTACGCATAATAGATATTGTAATAGGGTTTGGCATGGATAAACATATGTACATACATATGTAGATGCATATGCACATATTTGTAGGAAAAGCGTATGGGTATGAACAGAAAATTATGACTTTAATCTAGAAGAAGGGGATCAAAGTGTACTTGAGTGATTTGTTATGGTAATTGATTAAAAGTATGTGCTCGCAAATACACATTTGTTAGTTTGTATGTATATTTACAAACATATACATAGGTATATAGTATCCGTGTAGGGAAATTCTGAACTAGTTCCTTATCGCCAAAAACGAACCAGTTCGATAGCAACTATGGACGTAAATCCCCACCTATTCAAAAGCTGTGAAATGTGATACTTTTCCAAACAATTTTTTTCTTATTTTTTAAAGCAACATATCGCTAGCTAAGAGTGAAAAGTTGCTAAGTCCGCTTTGTATAAAAAAATATATTTTGATGCAGGGAAGCAAAAACAACTAGAAATGCATCGTTTTCTAAAAGATGGAAGTACCTATTTCATTTCTAACCGTTTCTGTCCAGTGATACGCAAATTTTCTAAGTTCAAAGTTGTCACAGAAAAAGTGAGAAGTCACAAAGAATACAAACACTTTTCTTTAGCAATTTATATCTCAGGTGACGTACTTAGCACTGGTTCGGAACTATCGAAAAAGTAATGCAGAGCGAACTAGATCTCATCTGCCGAAATTAGAGCTGTTTGGAACTATCGAAAAAGTGGTTCGGTACAAAAATTTGTAATAACATTTTTAACATCTTAGGTCTGATGGCATTCGAGCAACAACAGCAAGTAGAGATTCAGCTACAGAAAAGGTATGTGAGAACGTATTTTTAAATGCTTTCATTTCAAATTGAAAAAAAAAAAACGGTTCTTGAATTTATATCCGAACAAGTTCGGCACTATTCCATTTCCCTACAGGGATTGGAAGATATACATAAGTTGATGTCTGTTGATTATTTAATTAATTTCAACTTATTTCTCATTTTTAAAAGCTTTTAAAAAATCTTATTTACATACTTATGTATGAAATTAAGATAAAGTTGAAGTACTTGTGGAAGTTCTTGCTATTAGCGCCGACAGGTCCACATTACAGTGCTTTTTGAATATGCATACACAGAGCAAAATATGACCAATAGAAACAAGAAGATCGCCTCCATGAAAAAATTTCAAAGCTAAGGGGTGAAACAGACGAAAAAAGTGGAGAAAAGACTACTTATTGAATTTATGTAAACGTTTTTATTGACTTTATTTTTTATTAATAGGAATATATTTCAAAAAACATAAAGAAAACTGCTTGATTGCATCATTTAAAAAGAAGAAAAGAAAAAAAATTATAAAATGTCCTCTTGAATTGAATGAAAAGTATTTCTTCTTAATTGTGTGTGATGTTTTCTTGAATTAATTTTAAATTAATACAATTAGACAGCATAGTGTCGGTAAGGCGACCCTCGCAGCCGAGTAGGTAGAACTGTAAACTGCCACTGAGTAGGTCACGGGCTCGAGAAAGAGAAATCGTTCCACAAACGACAGCTGTACCGGCGGAGATATCAAGAAGCCTAAACAGGCTACTTCTTCTGATCGTAACTCACTGCAACGCCACTTTAGTTAGGTTTCCAAAGACAGCTTACTGATGGCCATAGTCGACGATAATTCGAGGGCACTGATATCCATTCAGTAACACTGGGTGGGGATCGACGTCAAGTTGTCGAACCTCGTTACGGATTACAGGGCTATCAGATGCGCGGGTCAAGCCTCTTTGGACGTCCTTGCTAGGTGTGTCGCTATCTGTATGCCCTCCATGGAGAAACCAGGCGAGAAGCTGCGGGGTGCCTAAAGCTGCAAACTGAATCATGGACTCGGGGAAATAAACCGAAGCTGTGGTCTTCAAAAGCAAAATTTTTTCTGGTGGAGTTAAAGACGCCAAGAAGTATACCAAAGGACACTGCCCACAAGGAACCGAGTCAAGCGCATGTTAACTGTTCTTTCCAAATCACTTTTAAGTATAGGGAGCCCTAGTTACGCATAAGCAGTAACGATAATTGATGCGAAAATTCTGTGTATCCCTTTATTTGAATATAATTTTTAAAATTGAAATTTTACTGCACTTGAAAAGACAAATTGCAACGCAATTACCGATCCTTTTGAAACAAGTGTGCCACTTATATATAGGCATATGCAGGTGCATATATATGTATGCACATTAAAATGTATATAGTACATATGTACGTCTAAGGAAAATTATAAAATTCCATTGTATGTAATTGGATTTGTGTTTAAAATGCTTTAGTTGTCACCAATTACAGCAATTTGTGGAATATTGAAGTTAATAATTAATTAATCGGCTATTGCGCGTAACTGCGCATACATAGTTACTTACTTATGACTATATATTTTTGCATCCTCATGCATATGTACATACGTTTATAAATATGTACATATGTACATATGTATATTCATAACCACTGTGCATACTTGCGCCCATTTTGTACAGTGGAATTTCGTCGTAAATTGTTTTCGCAATGATGCCATAAATTATTTATGTGAAAATTGGAAAATACAAAAATGCTTTTGTATGGTTTTTAATGACGGGAATTCTACAATCTGACTCAAGTAGCCAAAAGTATGTATTATAAAATTATATATGTGCGTTGGTGTGTTATATAGAAAAAGCTTGAACGATGTTTTAATGCTAAATACGAAATTGGAATTGGCAATGATATTTCGCATATGAAATTACAATGAGAAACTGAAATTATAAGCAATTTTGTTTGCGAAAATTTTTCTAAGTATTATTTATGTAAATGTGTGTACCGTTTAGGTGATAGTAGGACATGTATATGTAGCTATTCTATACGTAAAATTATTAGAATTCTATTAAAATTTATATTTAATATTTAATATATGTATACTAGCAGATTAACCGACGTGGTTCGTGTTGAACAAATAGCTGATTAAAAATGTCACGCCATCGGATTTGTCACGCCCCCTTATCTAAACTAAAACCTTCATAAACCCCTCTTTTCTGGCCTGTATGTTGTGATACATATTTCGATAACCTAGTTCCCTTAATTAAAGTTGACTTTGACTTTTTGGCAGATGGCAACTCTCCTAATTTGAATTCAACTTTCAAACAGGTGGCAAAACTCTTCAAAATATACTTATAAACCGGGACAAAGATGTGAGTATGCGTGTTTCCATAATCCAATTTACGGTCCCGACGTCTACAAGTCTCCAATAAACCAACATACATTTTTATATACAGTGACTCTCAGAAGTATCTTACATAGATTTTTTAACGATACTCAAAAAGTTTTTCTTGGGAAATTTGTTTCGTTAATTGTTTATAAAGCTATAGGCCATTCTACTAAAAAACATGTAAATGAAAATTTCAAACTTTAGAGAAGATTCGAAAAGTTTCGGCAAACTTTCATAAAAACATCAAATTTATTAAATCGATTTTTCTCA